CTGCTCTAAGGATCCACACAGGCTGCCCCTCTGTCACCCGACCAGAAGCAAGAGAGTGCCACCTGTCTGTACCCCAGATCCAAACCCACTCCCTCCTGTCCGCACCTGTGACCACGCCCAAGTGGGCGTGGTCAGCGCTACAGGTGCGGGAGGGGTGGATTTCTCACTTCATTGGTGTGTGTGGGGGGGTGTGAAATGGGTGGCCATTTTACATGTGCCAACTTTGTGGAATGGGTTCTCTCCCTCCACTTTTTGAGGAATCAAACTCCAGTTATCAACTAGGCTGTGCAACAAGGACTTTTACCTGATCAGCCCTCTTGTCAGTCCCTGCAGTGTGTGTCTTAGTTTGTATTTCTCTTGCAGTGATAGGACTATAACCTAAAGCAACCTGGGGAGGAAAGAGTTTATTTGGCTTACATATCTCAAGTCACAGTCCATTGAGGGAAGTCAAGGCAGGAACTGAATCAGAGACCATAGAGTATCACTGCTTACTGACTTGCTCCTTTGCTTATGGGCTTACTCAGTTTGTGTTCTTACACACCCCAGGACTACCTGTCTAGGCATGGCACTGCCCACAGTAGTCTGAGCCTTTCCATACCAACCATCAATCAAGACATTGTCCCATGGGCTTGCCTACAGGCCAGTCTGATGGAGGCATTTTTTTCAGTTGAGGCTCTCTCTTCTCGGATGACTCTTGTGCTGACAAAACCTAACCAATCATTATGTATTCTATTTAACATCTTTTGAAATACTTGACAATCAAAGGATGGTAAAGGCCCCTTTCCCCTCATTTCCATTTACAGGACAAGAGAATAATGCGATCTAAATAGATAAAATTGCATGTGTAAGCAATTGTTTAGAGCACACTATTTCCCCATTTCAGCCTCACATTCTTCCCCTTTTCAGCAGTCAGTACTACTATAAATGCAAAGCATTTGCAGTGCATAGTCACCATTGTCATGGGGTCCCCCTTGAGCAGCTAAAAGCAGCAGGACAATTCTGCCAGCTGTTTTACAGCCAAGGAAGAAAGGTAAACAGGGGTTAAGTGACTGCCAGAAGCACTCACCATGGCAGCTGTTCAGATTGGAACTCATGGCTCTTACCAGTCACAGCCCATTCAAAGGTTCTAAAGTATATATAGCTTGTCAGAGAAGGGCCTCACTGCCTAAACACAAATTTGCTTACCATCCACAAGGGGGAAATCCTGCATCTGTGGTTCTGATTCTTCTTATTCTTTTAAAATGTGTTTTTAGAATTTTATGCTTGAAAACTGTTTTTACTTCATTTCCACCCCTCTGCCAGCTCCATCTGTGCCCTCCCCAGTCCCTCTCAAATTCATGACTTCTTAATTATTGTTAAAGATATATATGTATGTACATCTCCTGTTGAGTCCATTTAGTATTGCTCATGTGTATATGTTTAAGGCTGACTGCTTAGGATTGGAAAGCTTATGAGGCTCATTCCTAAAGAGATTGACCCTGCCTCTCAAAGAAGCCACTAATTGCCTGTAACTCTTCATATGAGGGTAGGGCCTAATGAGATTCCTTCCTCCACATTGGCATGCCAAGTGGCATTGTCATTGCAGGCTGTAGAGATTTTTATGGCTATAGCTTTCTGTCATATAGAAGAAACAATCTCACAGCAGACATTTTGGTCCTCAGACTCTTCCAAGTTTTCTGCGCCCTCTTCTTCAACATTTGGCCAAGTCTTGGTTGTGGGATTTGTGATGTAGATGTATCAGTTGGGATTGAGCATTCAATGATCAGTTTTTCTCTATATTTTGAACAAGTGTGGATGTCTGTAATAGTCTCCATCCACTTCAAAAAGCTCCTCTTATGAGGGTGAGAGGTCTACTTAACTGTGTGTGTAAGAATAAGTATTTAGAATGCTGTTAGATATTGTACTGTTTGGGAAATTGACAC